TTTAGCCTGTTCCTTTATGGTATTAAAGTGTCTTATTTCTTATCGCTTAGCATAATGACACAACATCAGTATTAAGTGACTTTGTTTTAAAGTTTGACTCCCTGTGAAATTTTATTATTTTGTTCAGTGGGAGACCGAACTGCAACTTGCTTTTTTTTTTTGAGATGAAGTTTTGCTCTTGTTGCCCAGGCTGGAGCACAATGGCAAGATCTCTGCTCACTGCAACCTCCACCTCCCGGGTTCAAGCAATTCTCCTGCCTCAGCCTCCTGAGTAGCTGGGATTACAGGTGCGCACCACCATGCCCGGCTAATTTTTTGTATTTTTAGTAGAGACAGGGTTTCACCATGGCCAGGCTGGTCTTGTGCTTCTGATCTCAGGTGATCCGCTCGCCTTGGCCTTCCAGAGTGCTAGGATTACAGACATGAGCCACCCTGCCTGGCTTATAACTTGCTTTTCAGAATTGTTAGGCTGTTATCTCAATATTTGTTACTGAATCCATATTTTTGTCCTGAGTTGTAGAACCATCTACTCATTCGACAAAACATACATTGAGTGCTTATGTTTTACCTGGTGCTGTTAGGTGTTGGGGGTGCAGCAGTGAATAGAACAAATTTCTGGTCTTCATGGAGTATACAGTTAAAGAGAGAGTAATAAAATAACAAATATATATTTTTGATCCATAGTCATTTGGATTTACAGATGTGGAACCCGTGGACACAGAAGTGTTACTGCATTTATATCTGATTTTTTTCTGCATTTGTTGAGATGATAATTTTTCCTTGATTTGTAAATATGACAACCATATTAACAGATTTTCCCTTTAGATTTCTTTGAGAATTTTCTAGCTTGCTTTCTGTGTCATTGATTTCTAGTTTTATACCATTGTTGTTAGAAAGATACTTGAAATGATTTCATTCTTCCTGAATTTGTTAAACTTGTTTTGCGGCCTAACATATGATCTGTCCTGGGGAATATTCTGTGTCTGCTTAAGAAGAATGTGTATTCAGCTGCTGTTGGCTCGAATGTTCTGTATGTGTCTGTTAGGTCCATTTAGTCTGTAATGTTCAAGTCTGTGTTTCCTTATTAATTTTTGTCTGGATTATTTATCCGTTGTTGAAAGTGGAGTATTTAAGTTCTTCACTATTACTGTATTGCTATTTCCCTCTTTAGTTCTGTTGATAGTGCTTTATATATTTAGGTGCTCCAAATTGGGGCATGTGTATATATCTATAAATGTTACATTCTCTTGATGGATTGACCTCTGATCTCTCGTAACACTTTTTGACTCAAAGTCTATTTTATCTTATATAAGGATCCTCTGCTCTCTTTGGTTAATATTTGTGTGGAATATCTTTTTCCATCTCTTCACTTTCAGCCTCAGTCCTTTAAAGCTAAAGAGAGTCTCTTGTAGGAAGCATATAGTTGGATCTTGTTTTTAAAAAATCCACTTGGCCGGGCGCAGTGGCTCACACTTGTATTGTAATCCCAGCACTTTGGGAGGCTGAGGCGGGTAGATCACCTGAGGTCAGGAGTTTGAGACCAGCCTGACCAACATGGTGAAACCCCGTCTCTACTAAAAATACAAAATTAGCAGGGGGTGGTGGTGGGTACCTGTAATCCCAGCTACTCAGGAGGCTGAGGCAGGAGAATCGCTTGAACCCAGGAAGCAGAGGTTGCGGTGAGCTGAGATCGCGCCATCGCACTCCAGTCTGGGTGACAGTGAGACTCCATCTCAAAAAAAAAAAAATTCCATTCAATCTGAGTCTTACTGGAGAACTTAATTCTTTTCATTTAAAATAATTACTGATAGGTAAGGAGTTACTACTGCCATTTTGTCAGTTTTTCTGACTCTTGTAGTTTCTTCGTTCCAGTCGTCCTCTCTTGCTGTCTTCCTTTGTGATTTGATGATTTTTTGGTAGTGATAGGCTTTTGATTTTCTATGTTTTATGTATCTTGTAGGCAGCATATTGTTGGATCTTGTTTTTAAAAATCCACTCGGCTGGGCACAGTGGCTCACACCTGTAATACCAGCACTTAGGGAGGCCGAGGTGGGTGGATCACCTGAGGTCAGGAGTTTGAGACCAGTATGGCCAATATGGTGAAACTCCATCTCTACTAAAACTACAAAAATTAGCCAGGCGTGGTGGCATGTGCCTATAATCCCAGCTACTCAGATGGCTGAGGCAGGAGAATTGCTTGAACCTGGGAGGCCGAGGTTGCAGTGAGCTGAGATCATGCCACTGCACTCCAGCCTGGGCGACAGAGCGAGACTCCATCTCAAAAAAAAAAAAAAAAAGAAATGAAAAAATAAAATAAAAATTCACTCAGCCAATCTGTGTCTTCTGGAGTCTTTATTTCCATTTAAAAAATAATTATTGATAGTTAAGTAATTACTACTGCCATTTTGTCAGTTTTTCTGACTCTTGTAGTTTCTTTGTTTCCTCTCTTGCTGTCTTCCTTTGTGATTTGATGATTTTTTTGATAGTGATATGCTTTGGTTCTTTCCTGTTTTATGTATCTACTACAGGCTTTTTCTTTGTGGTTACCATGGAGCATACATAAAACATCTTATAGTGTTAATAGTCTATTTTAAGCTGACAACCTCAACAGTGTACCACAACTTTACATTTAATGTCTCGTTTCACATTTTATATTATTGATTTCATAATGTATATCTTTTATATATCACATATCCATTACCAAATTATTGTGTGTATAGTTAATATTTAATACTTTTGTCTCTTTACTTTTATACTAGACTTAAATGTGATTTAGGGACCAGCGTTACAGTATTGGAGTATTCTGAATTTGAATATATTGTTATCTTTATAATGAGTTCTATTCTTTAATATGTTTTTATGTTCTTAGAGTTCTTTTGTGTCCATTTGAAGAACTTCCTTTAGCATTTCTTTGTAAGGCAGGTCTGATGGTGGTGACCTCCCACATTTTTTTCCGTAAAGGGGTCCCATAGTAAATATTTTAGGCTTTGCTGGCAATATGCTGTCTGTTGTAACTGCTCATCTCTGCTATTGTAGCATGAGAGCAGATGTAGACAGTATGTAAACAAATATACATGGCTTTGTTCCAATAAAAGTATTACAAAGACCAAGTACAGAACTGGATTTGGCCTCTGGACTGCAGTTTGCTGACCAGTGATTTAGACTTCTGACATGGTAGATTACATTGATTGATTTTTTGAATATTGAACAAGTGTAGCATTCCTGGGATAAACCCCACATGGTGTGGTCTGTTACTCTTTTTATGTTCGTAAGTTTGATTTGCTAATATATTCTTGATGATTTTTATGTTTATGTTCACTTTGGAAATTGGTCTTTAGTTTTGCTTCTTTGTACTGTCTTCACCTGATTTTGATTTTAGGATAATGCTGACCTAATTAAATGAGTGGAGAAATGTTGTTCCCTCCTCTGTTTCCTGGAAGGGATTCTGTAGAGTTGGTGTTACCTCATCTTAAAATGTTGGTTATAAATTAGTCAGTGAAATCATCTGGGCCTGGAGATTGTTATTTCAGAATATTTCGTACTATAAATTCAATTTCTTTAATAGTTACAGAACTGTTCAGTTACATATTTCATCTTGGGTGAGTTTTGGTAGTTTGTCGTTTCCTATGAATTGGTTCATTTCATTTAAAGATATCAAACTTAAATATGTGGAGTTGTTCATACTACTCTTTTATTGTCTTTTTTTTTTTGACACGGAGTCTTGCTCTGTTGCCCAGGCTGTAGTGCAGGGGTGCGATCTCGGCTCACTGCAAGCTCTGCCTCCGGGGTTCATGCCATTCTCCTGCCTCAGCCTCCCGAGTAGCTGGGACTACAGGCGCCGCCACCACACCCGGCTAATTTTTTTGTATTTTTAGTAGAGACGGGGTTTCACTGTGTTAGCCAGGATGGTGTCAATCTCCTGACCTCATGATCTGCCTGCTGGGATTACAGGTGTGAGCCACCATGCCCCGCCTTATTGTCGTTTTAATGTCTGTGGGGTCTATAGTGAAATTCCCTCTTTTATTCCTGTTTTAGTTCATTTTCTATTGCTATAACAAAATACCCAAGAGTTGGTAATTTATAAAGGAAAAAGATTTATTTGGTTTATGTTTCTGGAGGCTGAGAAATCTAAGATGGGTTGCCACATGTGGTGAGGGCTTTGTGCTATGTCATAATGTGGCAGAGAAGTGCAAGGGGAAGCACATGTTTGCAAAGAGAGGCCAAACATGAGAGGCATCCTCACTTTATAACAACCCACTCGTGTGGGTTCACTCCTCCAAGAGTGAGAACTGCTTTGAGAACAACATTAATCCCTCTTAACAACCTAATCACCTCTTAAAGGTACCACCTCTCAACACTGCTACACTGGGGACCAAGCTTCAACATGAGATTTGGTGAGGGCAAATGATATTCAAACCATAGTAGTCATTTTTTATGTGTTAGTTTTGCTAGAAGCTTGTCAATTTTATTGATCTTTACAAACAATCAGATTTTGATTTGACTTTTTAAAAAGTTGGGGTAGAATATACACAAAATATAATTTGCCATCTTTTAACTGGTTTTTTTTTTTTTTTTTTTTTTTTTTTTGAGATAGGGCCGCACTGTGTTGCCCAGGCTGGAGTGCAGTGTCGTGATCTTGGTTCACTGTAGTCTCTGCTTCCCGGGTTCAAGTGATTCTCCTGCCTCAGCCTCCTGAGTAACTGGGATTACAGGCACGTGCCACCATGCCTGGCCAACTTTTGTAGTTTTAGTAGAGACAGGATTTTGCCATGTTGGCCAGGCTGGTCTCGAACTCCTGGCCTCAAGTGATCTGCCTGCCTGGGCCTCCCAAAGTGTTGGGATTACAGGTGTGAGCCACTGTCCTGGCCCTTAATTATTATTTTTTAACCTTCCAGAGTCCTTTTATTTTGGAATATCCTGTAAACAGTCAAACCACCAGAACATTACTGTACAACAGTAAAATGTTCTCCTGCATTAAACTGAAGATAACCATTTAATAAAAAAAAGAAAAAGAAAATGTAGGAAAGGTACTTAGAGCTGTTACTTTCTAAGTACACAACACCCTAGACAATTCAAGGCATCTTAATCTCCATCAAGAACAACAAAAAAATAATTTTTGTCATGCTGTTAAATCCATCATTATGGATAAAACTGGTGCATATTGGTCAAACGGATCCAACAAACACTGATGTCCAAGCTGGCATATTGGCAACTAATACGTAACTGGTGGTCAATACTTTAAAAGATCTTCCCTTTCTTATTGTTCTTTTCCAAGGTTCTCAGAGAGTTCTGTTGTTCTGAAATACGTTGTTGAGCTTCCCAGTTTGCTTTCTCATCCTCAAACTGACGACGTTTTTCCTCTAATTCTTTGTGTTGTGCTTCCAAATTCTTTTTCATTTGCTCATGGCGCCGCTGGAGCTCAGCTTCAGAGTCCTTTAGTTTTTGAACTTTTTATTTGACCTTCATCTCAAACACCTGCTCCATCTCCATCTCTATCTTCTTCATTTTAGCTCCATCTCTATCTTCTTCATTTTAGACCTTCTTTCTTCCATTTGTGCCGGAGGGCTCTTAGTCAGCTGCCCTTTATTCTTGTTGTTAGTAACTCCATTATAAGTCACAGCTGCCAGTTTTCTGCTTCTGTACCTCTTGTAGTGGACATTATTAGTAACATCTTTCAAGTTCTGCGTGTGTGTTCTTATCAACATATTTCTTAGAATTGTAAAATCACAATGTTCACCATTTTCAACTTCAGCAGCACCCCAAGGATACTACCTTCCTCTGACCCTTTTGCCATTAACTTCAATGATAGTGTTACTACCTACCACAGCAAGAGGCAAACGGTCCTTTACCTTTTTAACAAGTTTATTTTCTTCATCATCATCTGTTTCTGGAAATTCATATATTTTAATTTTATGTTCTTGGATTTCTTTCATTATCTGTTTTTTAAACTGTTGGCATTCTTCTGGTGTGAGTGTGTCTGCTTTGGCAATAAGTGGGATGATAATCACTTTTTCATGCATACGCTTCATAAGCTCAATATCCAATGGTTTAAGTCCATGTCCTGAAGGAGCAATTAAGTATTAACAACACTGCACCTTGCTATCAGGCATCTGACGTCTGTTCCTTCACGATTCTGCATTTACTATCAATGTAATCGATAACAAGCTGCCAGCAATTACTATTATCCAGTGCATCTCCAAATCCTGGGGTATCAACTATTGTGAGCAGCAGCACCTGAACGCCACGTTCTTTGATTAAAGCTTTGGATTGTCCACCTGTACATTCTTTTTAATTATATGAGAAGGACCTGGATACTCTGGAGAATACAAATCTGTGAGGAGTAAAGAGTTGATTAATGTCAACTTTCCTAATCCAGGTTCGCCTCTCTGGGTAAGGTGGCTCACATCTGTAATCCCAGCACTTTGGGAGGCTGAGACAGGTAGATGGTTTGAGCTCAGGAGTTCCAGACCAGCCTGCGAAATAAGGCGAGACCCTGTCTCACTTTGTATGTTGTGCCAGCTGGGGGTGCCCCAGGTAGGTGCTCCCTGGAGTGTCTGCTTCAGGGCTGCTGCGAAGGTGCAGGGCAGGGCTCCTCCAGCTGGGAAACATGGAATAGTTGGCAGCTGCTTTGTACATAGAATCCTTCTTCTCTGATGACCGTGCTGTCAACATCAAAACACACTGCATCTGCTGAGTAGAAAAGCTTCCTCAGCTCTGAGTGGGAGACCATCCTTGGAAGAATTTTCCTCGTTTCTCCAATGCTAGATTTCTAGGAGACCACACTGTTCTCTTCCTGTTCCTTCCCTAGATAAAAATGCAGCACAAAGTTCTGACTACAGATTTCTTCAAGAAAGACCTGTGGATTCCCCTAGAGTGAGAGCCCAGGCTCAGGTGAGGCGAGTGCGCGACCGTGGCTGCAGCTGGCGCTGGCCTTTGAGGAGCTTCTGCGCGACCTTGAGATCTTACCTGCTAGGCGCCGGCCGGTTGGCACGCACCGCGTCTGGCCCTTGGTGCGCCCGGCCCCGCAGGCCGGGAAGTCGTAAAGCTCCTCCTGGTAGCTTATGGGCGGTGGTGGAGGGCCGCAGCTCAGAGGCTGGTTACATCCCGCCCGGCCGTCTGTGGCCACCCAACCCCTTAACTATTTTTAAGTGTACATTTTAGTGATGTTAGATACATTTATAATGTATGTGACCATCACCACTATCCATTTTCATAGCTTTTTTTAAATCTTGTAAAACTTATACTTTATGGCCATTAAACAGTAACTCCCAGTTTCTCCCCTCTGTCAGCCTCTGGCAACCACCATTCTGCTTTCTGTCTCAGATTTTAACTACTCTTAGTACCTTATGTAAGTGGAATCCACTATTTTTTTTGTGTGTGTGTGACTGGTTTAAGTCATTTAGGAGTTTGTCAAGGTTCATTTATGTTGTTGTATCGCATATGTCAGAAATTCCTTTCTTTTTAAGGCTGCATAGTATTCCACCATAGACATACCACCATTGTGGTATGTCGGTATCATATTTTACTTAACTGTTAATTATGTTTTATTTGTTGTGAATAATGCTGCTATGAACATTGTTTGTTTGTTTTTTTGAGGCAGTCTCGTTCTGCTGCCCAGGCTGGAATGCAGTGGTGTGATCTCTGCTCACTGCAACTTCCACCTCGCTGGTTTGAGCAATTCTCCTGCCTCAGCCTACCGAATAGCTGGGATTACAGGCGCCTGCTACCATTCCTGGCTGATTTTTGTATTTTCAGTAGAGACAGGGTTTCACCATCTTGGCCAGGCTGGTCTCGAACTCTTGACCTCAGGTGATCTGCCTGCCTCGGCTTCCCAAAGTGCTGGGATTACAGGCATGAGCCACTGCACCCAGCCTCCTATTGTTTTTGAAGGATCCTTTTTATTGCTGCATGTTTTGTTCAGTGTTTATAGGGGTTTTTCCTTTAATTTTCCCGTTAGTGCTTTAAATATGTTTTTTACTGCCTTCTAGCTTACATAGTTTCAGGCGAGAAACCTGCAGTCATTCTTACTTTAGTCCCTCTTTAAGCAATGTGTATTTTCTTTGGAAGTGGCTGCTTTTAATATTTTCTGTTTATTAATCTTTTTCAGCAATTTGACTATAAAGTACCTTACTGGTACGTGTGCGCGCGCGTGCGTGCGTGCGTGTGTGTGTGTCTGTCTGTCTCGGATTTTGTTGTGCTTGGATCTGTGGGTTTATAATCATACAGCTTTTAAAATTTACAGCTAATTATTTCACTAAACAGTTTTTTTGTCCCCATCCCTTTAACCCCAACCTCACACATATTAGGTAGGATACTGTTATTCCACAGGGCACTGTAGCTGTGTTGTCATTTTTCATACTGTTCTTAATTTTGAATAGATTTTTTTTGTGTGTTATGTCTTTAGGGATAGTGATCTTCTTTTGTCATTTCTAATCACGTTAACTTTTCAATGTGAAATTTCCATTTGATGTTATCTTTTTGATATTACCTTTGAGTTCCATGTTAGTTTTAATATCTTTTATTTCTCTCCTCATATTCATGTTTTCTGTACATTCTTGTGCATATGAGGCATGCTTATAATAGCTGGATTATTGGATTATGCCCAGTAGTTGTGAATCATTATTGTTCAGTTGAGACTTATTTATTTTTTCATACAGAGTCACTCTCAGGATAAGTTGAGACTTATTTGTCAGCTCTTTTAGGGATGGTCTAGAATAGCATTTGTTCTATGGCTCATTTAGCCCTGCTCCTAAAGGTGTGTCTCACTCTGGTCTCTGCTGAATGTGTTACATAGTCATTGAGGTCTCGCCACTCTGGCTAGAGACAACACAGTTGGCTAGTGACAATACAGTTGATTCGCAGCTTTCTGTGAGCTCTGGAAATTGTTCTTCTGTAATTGTTTTCTCCCTGGAAGTTGTTCTTGTTCAGTCTTCTGGGATTTCACATCACATGTGTGCAGACTGGTATTCATTTGAAACTCAAGGCTATCCCTGTGCAGATTTCTGGAGCTCTTTCTCTGAATACCTCTCTTCTCTTGGGTACTCTGCCCCACAAATTCTAGTCTTCTTGAGCCCCCTGAACCTATGATTTTTGTCTTCTCATTTCAGTTCTCATTTTGGGTTCATCTCTCTGTGTGGTAGTTTCTAAATTAACTCCAGGCAGAAAGCCTGTGCCGTGGTAGGGGTCACTGTGTTTCTTTCCCTTTGTTCCCTTTGCCCTACCTGTTGTCCAGTGTCTGATAATGGTTGTTTTTTTAATGTTTGTCTGGTTTCCTAGTTGTTTGGGCTAGAGGGTAATTTTGACTTGTCTTACTCCCGTGTGGCTTTATTAGAAGTCTCCTATATTACTTTAGGTACTCAAGTTGGTTTCAGATTCTGAGATTACTGTGGAACATTAAGTTTTGGTAGAAATTTTTCTCAAATAAAGTTAGTTGTACTCTTTTACTTAACCTTTCTTAGTAATAAAGTGAAGTGAAGAACACTGAAATGAAAGGGTTAAGAGACAGGAAAAAGAGGGGAAGGAAGAAAACCCAGAGAAGGATTAAAATAAAGAATCTTCATGTTGTCATTTGTAATTAGACGTCAAACTTTCATTAAACACTGAAACTGGAAATAACTGACTCAATATGGAAATATAAAACATGTATCTATTTTGCTGTTTACATATGGAAGTTGGCAACTGATAGGGTTTTGAAGAGTATGACCATTATCTTTGCATTCAGAATATAGTGTTTGATTAGTCAGAAAACTCACATGCCATAAGCCAATGAGCAGCAATAAGAAGGACACCAATGAAATAAAAGAAATTTGAAAATGACATGATGTCAATAAGTTGGTTCATTGCCCAGAAGGAAAGGAATTCCGATGAATTGATCAACGTAAAAAGCGTGTCTTCCTAGTGCCAAAACCAAGAATAGAAGAAATCAGAAGAAAAATTTTAAAAGCAAAAATTAAAATCAAAATTCTTTTTTAAGGAATAAGTAGAGCAATGCAGATAACTGATATGTTGATAGAGATTATAAACTAGACAGAACAAGCTTGAAATAAAGCCAGTTGTGCCAAACAAACAAACAAACAAACAATAGCATAGACAGCGATGGTCAAGATAGTGGAGAAAAAAACTCACAATAGAGCAAAACATTGGTCTGAGAGATTAAGTTAAAAAGTCAGCTAAACCATATGATTTTTAGTTTCTTTAAAAATGGATGTTTATGTTTATGAAAAATCACAAAGGAAAGATGAAAAGTAAACTCTACCTCCATAATAGCATATGAATTATTCTCTGTCGTCGTTGAAGCAGCCATGTTAGGATTCTTTCAAGGATTTCTAGTCTCTCTGTCCCTAATTCTTGTATTGGTCTACAGGTTTCTAAACAAAAAGTGATCCTATTAAAAAAAAATTCTTAGACCTCAAGCCTTATTACCTCCTACCGCTGACTCTGCTCCAGGCACCGGATGTCCTTCTTGTCCCTTTAACCCCCTTCACTTGCTCTCATCTCAAGAATTTTGCATTTGCTGTTCCTTCTGCTGCAATGCTGTTCTCCCAGATATCTGTATGGTTTGCTTCATCTTCAGGTCTGTGCTGAAGTGGCTCCTGAAATAAAATTGTATTTTAAAACATTTATTTTATAAATCTGTTATTTAAAATAGTCCCTTTTTCTTTGCTTTCTTTTCTTGGATGTTGTATGTGTAATACTTGTTTACTGTTGTCTGTTCTCACTAGAATGTAGTTTTGTGAAGGGAGGGATTTTGTTTTATTTATTTCTGTATCCACTGTGTTTGAACACAGACATAAAGGAAGATTGATAGAGTAATCTAGTGATGCTTGCTCAATGTGTTGTCCAAATACTTGTTTAAAATGCTTCAAACTATAATGTTTCATCTATCAGTTTCTGAGAGTGGGATGTTAATGTCTCTCTAATGATTAGTTATCAATTTCTCTTTGTTCTGCAAATGTTTGCTTTATATAATCTGAAGTTCTCATGTTATCCAAGTGAATTAATTTTTATCATTATGACAGTTTAAGCCATTTATGTGTACTGTGAAAATTCATATTTCTATTTACCTTTTTATGTTATTTTCTGTGTACCATTTGTTTTCACTCCTTTTCTGCCTGCTGTTGGATTGATCACATTTTCTCATCCCTTCTTTCTACTTTAATGTTTTCTATCACATTTAAAAACAACTACTTAATAAATTCTTTTTTTTTTTTTTGAGACGGAGTCTCTCTCTGTCGCCCAGACTGGAGTGCAGTGATGTGATCTTGGTTCACTGCAAGCTCCGCCTCCCGGGTTCACGCCATTTTCCTGCCTCAGCCTCTCCTGGGATTACAATTGCCTGCCCCCATGCCCGGCTAATTTTTTTGTATTTTTTTAGTAGAGATGGGGTTTCACTGTGTTAGCCAGGATGGTGTCGATCCTCTGACCTCGTGATCCGCCTGCTTCGGCTTCCCAAAGTGCTGGGATTACAGGCGTGAGCCACTGTGCCCAGCCTAAAAACAACTACTTAATAAATTCTAAAGATATTCTTTCTTTTTGTCCGTGAACAATAAGATTCACCTTAGAGTGTTCTCTCCTTAATCACCCTGTTTCATCTTTCTGGTTTTGTAGTCTTTTTATTTAGTTCTGCCTTCTTTCCCCTCTCCCCCTGTGAAGTTTGAAGTGATGCTATTTTGACTGTTTGACTTGTTATGTAACATTAACAAATTTCTAATATTGACATCCTGGCATTCTGATTATATTCAATAGGATTGTTCTCAGTTTTTTATTTTCATTAGTTTTTACAATGTTTGTTGGAATTCTGAGTCAGATATGTCCTTTTTTTTCATTTTTGGGAAGACCGACCTTTTGATAGTTTTTAGTAATTTAATTATAAAACGATTTAGACTTTGATTACTTCAATTTTTTATTTTTTGAGATAGAGTTCCACCTTTATTGTCCAGGCAGGAGTACAATGGTGCAATCTCAGCTTACTGCAACCTCCGCCTCCCAGGTTCAAGCAATTCTCCTGCCTCAGCCTCTCAAGTAGCTGGGATTACAGGCATGTGCCACCATGCCCAGCTATTTTTTTTTTTTTTTTGTATTTTTTTAGTAGTGACGGGGTTTATCCATGTTGGTCAGGCTGGTCTTGAACTCCTGACCTCAGGTGATCTGCCTGCCTTGGCCTCCCAAAGTGCTGAGATTACAGGCATGAGCTGCCACTCCCAGCTAGTCACTTTAATTTTTAATATATTTTTATGTTATAGCTCCTTCATCGTTTAGGTTGGTTAACTTTTTTTTTTTATTTGAGATGGAGTTTCACTCTTGTTGCCTAGGCTGGAGTGCAATGGTGTGATCTTGGCTCACTGCAACTTCTGCCCACCGGGTTCAAGCGATTCTCCTGCCCCTGCCTCCCGAGTAGCTGGGGTTACAGATGTGCGCCAACACGTGCAGCTAATTTTTGTATTTTTAGTAGAGACGGGATTTTGCCATGTTGGCCAGGCTGGTCTTGAACTCCTGACCTCAGGTGATCCACCCACCTTGGCCTCCCAAAGTGCTAGGATTACAGGCCTGAGTCACTGCGCCTGGCCTAGGTTGGTTAACTTTTTTATGAGAACAAGACTTAAATGGATTTCTTGTTGTTTAAAACATAGTTCTTTGTTTTATTCTTTTTTCATATTATTATTGTATTTCATATTGTTTTTCCCTTTTTTTTTTTGTTTGTTTGAGACAGAATCTCACTCTGTCGCCCAGGCTGGAGTGCAGTGGCATGATACCAGCTCACTGAAACCTCCATCTGTCAGGTTCAAGCGATTCTCATGTCTTAGCCTCCCAAGTACCTGGGATTACAGGCACACACCACAATGCCCGGCTAATTTTTGTATTTTTAGTAGAGACGGAGTGTCACCATGTTGGCCAGGCTGGTCCTGAGCTCCTGACCTCAGGTGATACATCTTCCTCAGCCTCCCAAAGTGCTGGGATTACAGGTGCGAGCCACCACAGTTGGCTGTTTTTCACTTTTTAAATGTTTTATGTTTTTCGATTAAATACTGAGTTGATTTGTATTTTTCTTTCTGTTGCCTCCCTCCCTCCCTCCCTCTCTTCCTTGTTTTTTTTCTTTAGCTGGGATTACTGGCATGCCACCATGCTTGCCTACGTTTTGAATTGTTTTGGTAGAGATGGGGTTTCGCCATGATGGCCAGGCTGGTCTTGAACTCTTACACTCAAATGATCCACCTACCTCGACTCTCCAAAGTGCTGGGATTACAGGTGTGAGCCACCCTACCCAGCCTTTTTCTTTTAAAGAATTTAAAATACTGTGAAATAATTTAAAACACTGAAATTATCTGAGTACTGCTTTGTCAGTTTCTAAGTTTTTATATGTAATATCTTGTTGCTCTTATGTGTTACTAATTTTTCTATTACTCATTTCTGTACCTTATTTAGGATAATTAAAAAAATTTAAAGGCATTAGTTTGGCTTTTTTTTGGTCAGGAATTTCACCTTATGTGACTCTTACCTTTATTTTACTTTCCTGAAGTGTTTATAAATTAAATTTTATTATAAATTTATAATATATAATTCATATATATTATAAATATATACTAATTTATATATTATATAATACATAATTATATGTTGTAAGGTGGACATGATTGTAATTGTGCTTAATTTAAAAAATTTTGTTTTTTAGTCATCTGCATCACAGTCACCAAAAGTACCCTTTACAAAGCTTTTAAAAATACATGTATCTGGTCATTTCGCATCAACTTTATTAAATGTAGAAGTCAAACCTGGTATGTGAACTTTGTAAAGAACCCATTATGTAGTTAAAAGCCACTACTGTAGACAGAGGGAGACATCAGAATATTACCTAAAAGAGGGGCAAAACCAGAGTGAGGAGTACTTAAGTGAATTATGAGGACACAATTATATTCATGTGGGTCTGTCCTCACATTGAGAGTATAAGGAAGTGCTGGATTTAAGGGAGAAAATGATTGTAAACGCTGACATTTTCTACTTGATATGGTAAAATGCTGGAAAAATGCCCGAATTATTTATTTTGTATACCTTCAAATTGTGCTTTATGTTGAATATAAGTCTAAGCCTTAAAATTTAACATGTAACTCTATGTGCTTATTTTTTCTTTCCTATAGACCTCGAAGTAGGGGAAAAACTGCAGTGGAAGATGAGGACAGCATGGATGGGCTGGAGACAACAGAAACAGAAACGATTGTGGAAACAGGTATCAAAACTCAAGAGTTTATAAGAATGTATATGATACTTTGCATATGTCTATGCACTGCATGTAGCATCTGTATAACAATATTCTGTATTAAGCATTTGTTTTTATACTGAACTCTAAGTTTCTCATCTGCCTAAGTAGTTTTGATGACTAATGACAAAGTAAAAACACTGAGTTCTGTGTCTCTCTTTTTTCCCCTACGCCCTGGTTTAGTATAATTATTTCATATCTGAAGATAAATGTTTTATCAAGGAAATAGAGACTGGGAGAAACAGTAATCCAGGCTGTTAGTATGATTGCTCATAGTATATTTTGGCCTGTGAACCATCTAGTGTTTGTTTAAAGCTTATTTTGTTAATATGTGTTTTGAAAAAAGTAATATGTTTCATCGTGGAATTAATGTTGTGAGAGGCTAGGCCAAACTAGACCAAATAGTTTCTGGTCTGTTGGACTTTTAGGTGCCCTTAAATAAGCTGTTGTATGTTGTACATCTGCTAAAAGGTGGCTAGAGTTGGTTGCCCAAAGCAGTTTCCAAAATTTACAGGTCTGTGGTAAGTTATCAAAGGGACTAGGATTCATATTGTATTTAGAGGATACCTGTAGGAGATAGTCTCTCATTGGTAAAGTTTTCAATAGTTGATAGAGTTTAGACACAGTGATAGGCTTTGTTTCTGAAGTTGAATATCATCTTGATGCTTACAGAATATCATACAGTTAAGAGATGAGAAAAATTAAAAATTGTTACATATTTTAAAATACATTTTCCCAGAAATCCTTATGGTTGTCAGATGTGTTGCTATTATATAGGTATAATTCTTGGAAAGCCTTCAAATAATCTGTAGTTTCTTTTCTTTCCAATAAGGTCTAGTTAGAGTAACAAAATGACACTTGGAAGTTCAGAATACTAAATTTCACCCTTTTGTGCACATTCATTAATTACTATATTACTTTAAACTTGAATTTACATAATTTCTGTTCTTTTTCATATTTTTTTCTATACTATGTATTGTTACTTTTACTAGTGAAAAGTCTTTTTGAAGCTTTAGTGTTTTTTTTTCTTTTTTTTTTGGAGACAGAGTCTTGCTCTGTTGCCTAGGCTGGAGTGCAGTGGTGTGATCTTGGCTCACTGCAAGCTCCACCTCCCGGATTCATGGGTTCATGCTATTCTCCTGCCTCAGCCTCCCTAGTAGCTGAGACTACAGGTGCCCGCCACCACGCCCAGCTAATTTTTTGTATCTTTAGTAGAGATGGGGTTTCACCGTGTTAGCCAGGATGGCCTTGATCTCCTGACCTCATGATCTGCCCACCTCAGCCTCCCAAAGTCCTGGGATTACAGGCGAGAGCCACCACACCTGGCCTATTGTTGTTATTTTTGAGACAGAGTCTTGCTCTGTCGCCCAGGCTGGAGTACAGTGGTGCGATCTCGGCTCACTGCAACCTCCACCCACCGGGTTCAAGCAGTTCTCCCTGCCTCAGCCTCCCAAGTAGCTGGGATTATAGGTATACACCACCACGCCTGGATAACTTTCGTATTTTTAGTAGAGACAGGGTTTTGCCGTGTTGGCCAGGCTGGTCTCGAACTTCTGACCTCAGGTGATCCACCCGCCTCCCAAAGTGCTGGGATTACAGGTGTGAGTCACCGTGTCTGGCTCTGATTATTATTATTGTGACTATTGTTACTATTCTTTCTGAGATGGAGTCTCACTCTTGTCTCCCAGGCTGGAGTGCAGTGGTGTGGTATCAGCTCACTGCAACCTCCATCTCCTGGGTTCCAGTGATTCTCTTGCCTCAGTCTCCCTCCTGGGCTGGGACTACAGGCAGACGCCACCAAGCCTGGCTAATTTTTGTATTTTTTAGTAGAGACGGGTTTCCACCATGTTGGCCAGGCTGGTCTTGAACTCCTGACCTTGTGATCCACCCGTCTCAGCCTCCCAAAGTGCTGAGATAACAGGCGTGAGCCACCACGCCCGGCCTGATTATTTTTTAAAATTTCGGTTTTTTTTTTGAGACAGAGTTTCGCTCTTTGTTGCCGAGGCTGGAGTGCAGTGGCGTGATCTTAGCTCACTACAGCCTCCACCTCCCAGGTTCAAGTGATTCTCCTGTCTCAGCCTTCCGAGTAGCTGGGATTACAGCCACCCGCCACCATGCCTGGCTGATTTTTGTATTTTTAGTAGACACAGGGTTTCACCATGTTGGCCTGGCTGGCCTCAAACTCCTGACCTCAGGTGATCCACCCACCTCGGCCTCCCAAAATGCTAGGATTACAGGCGTGAGCCATCGTGTCCAGCCCTTTGATGATTGAAGATGATTATTTCACCACGTTTTCTTTCTCCTGAAACTTCCAACACTCCTCATTTTTGATTCTTTAGTGATGGATCTTGCTTATTTCAGTGAAAAAATAAAAAATAAAGAACAATTAGAAAAGAAGTTCCGTATTCATCCACCATCAAATCTATTTTCTTGCTTGTATCCCTACCCATATATTGTAGTTTCTGTCCTGGTAAAATGGGATAAAGACTGTCCGTGGGTAAGGCCAGCTCCTCTGCTTGTGTCTTACATTGTGTCTCCTTTCACGTATTATGGATTTGGTTCTGTAGTTGTCCTTGCTTTCCTGCATCAATAACTTTTCCCTCTCCAGGATTTATTTCATTAGCATAAGGAGGGTGCTGCAGAACCACCCCCTTTCAGCACAAATAGCTCTCTTGATCTGACATCCCCTTTTAGGTACTCTACAGCTTCTTTGCTCCATCATAGCAAAAATCCTTGAGTTATTTATACCTGTGATTACTACTTATTTTTCACCATTTTCTCATGAGCTCACTCTAATCAAGCTTTCTTCCTCCCATTCTACTAAAATTACTCTTGTCGATGTCATTATCTCATATTGCCCAAACCAACTTTTAGTCTTCATCCTCCTTAACCTTTCAGGATCATTTCACACAGCTAACCACTCTCAGGAGTGAAACTTTTTTTTTTAAACTTGACTTTGAGATCACTGCATTCTCCTGGGTTTTTTTTTTCCTACTCCTCCTCCACTGGTTTTTCCTCATTCTCTTCGCTCATTTTATGTATTAGGTGGTCTTATTCAGTTTGATGGCTTATTATCTATTTTTGTGCTATTATTGTGTTATCGAAATGCTAATGACTCTAAACTTACATCACCAGCTCTTTCTTGCTTTGAACACAACCTGTATCTTTCAGCTTTTGCTTCTTAACATCTCCTCTTAGATGTCTGTCCTCTCTGGAAATTTTTGTTGTTATCCTGAAAACCTGTCTTCCAATGTTACCACCTCTGGTCTATTGCCACTGTATGTTGTTCGGGTTTGAAAAGATGGAATCTTTCTTGATTTCACATTTTCACGTTTTACATTTTAGACATTCACATTTCACATTTTCACATTTTCACATTTTAGGCATCCAGCCCACTAGAGGGCTTTGCCTATCCAGTGTATCCTGGATTCAACTACTTTGACCCCTCCACTGCTGTTACTCCAGAACTTCACACTGTCATTCCGCTGGACTGCTGCAATAGCTTCCTAACTGGTCTTGCTCCTTTCCTTTTCATTTCATTCTACTCTTGTCCCACACATAGTAGCCAGAGTGATCCTTCCGAATTCAAAGTGAATCCCTGTGTCAACCATCCAAAGACTCCAGTGATATTTAGAATAAAATTCAAAGTTCATACAGTACCACTGTCTTCAGACTTCATTGATCTGACCGTGGCCACCTGTATAACCATATCTTACGTTGCCTTGTTCACTGGGCTCCATCCCTACTGGCCTCCTAGCTTTTCGTGGAGCCCACCAAACATACTCCTTTCTTATGCGTTTGCACTTTTTGTCTTCTTTGCTTGCAAAAATTTTTTCTCAGATATTCATACAGCTTATTCCCTTACTTCAGTTAAGTCTCTACTCAGTTACAGTTTTCCCAGAGACCTTTCCTGACAAACTTTTCTAAAAAGTAACACTTGTCACTTTGTCTTCTCCTGCTTTATTTTCCTCCTAGTACTTAACAGATAGGACGTTTAATTCCATATTGGCTTATTGTATGCTTTCCACGCTAGAATGTAAGCTTTATGAAGTCAGGGGATTTGTCTTGTTAGCTCATTTATCCCCAGTGCCAAGAATACTTCTAGGGACATAGGAGGAATTGGATTCACTAAGTGAAGCAGTATTGTGTTCTTGAATTTTCATTTTTTATGTTTTCTAAGCTACCTGCTATTCTTGGAACTTTAAAACATTACAACAAAACTAAATTCCTGGCATTTTTTTTTCCTTATCTGAGAGTAGTAAGCCCCACACATGGACTCTCTTTTCATGCTGTCTTCTATGAGATGTCAAGGCAAATACAGTTTAGAGAAATGTTTTAATAGGAGCAGAAAACTATTTTTTTTAACCTGGCCTTTTACTAAAGTTAATACAGCCAAGTGTACTAGTCTTTGTTTTGTCTTTGTCCTTGGAAAGGCCATTGTTCAGTTCTTTTAGGGAACATAGTGAACATAGGGCAAGGAGAACAGTGAAAGAAAGAATAACTGTTACAACCACTAACCTGCAAATAAACCCAGACAGAGAGAGTTCCATAAATTTCTAGTTCATTTAAAAGCAAATTCAAGTTTGCTGCAAGGGTTTAACCTCTCTATGTATGTCTCAAAACCCCAGGGTTTATTTGAAGGTTCTCTTGTTCCCTGTAAATGCTGTGCCTTGACATGCTTACTTAATGATTTGTAGTAATATAATGATTTGTAGTAATATAAGGGTATTAGGCTGGGCGTGGTGGCTCACACTTGCAACCCTGGACCTTTGGGAGGCCAAGGTGGGTGGATCGCTTGAGCTCAGGAGTTGGAGACCAGCCTGGGCAACATGGCGAAAACCCGCCTCTACAAAAAAATACAAAAATTAGCTGGGTGTGATGGTGTGCCCCTGTGGTCCTAGCTACTCAGGAGGCTGAGGTGGGAGGATCGCTTGATCCCAGGAGACACCAGTTGCAGTGACCTGTAATCA